TTATGTATGTGTGTGTGTGTGTGTGTTTGGAACCTTTAAATTTACTACATACTCTTACAGGAATATATAGCAGTCCTAACTCCCAGAGACTAAACCAAAAGTGAGCTGTAGCAGATACCAGCTTTTAATACTGGGATTCAAAGCTTCATTTGTATCTGTCATCCACCTGAACTCTACCTGAAAGTGATACACATTCATCCTGCAAATCTATTCCAGTAACATTTTCTGAAACACTTACAGGAGCTTTATGTTGCATTGACACTTCATGAGTATCTTATTTGCTTCAGAAGAAGGAAAAAAATAATTCATTTTTCTAACAGACCTCATCAGAGATCCATTATTTCCAATTGTCTCTCCTACTACTGTTGGTCATTATATAATCTCTTTCAAAATTGCCTATATATTCACAGCTCGGAGACAGGAATAGTTTAGACAGAATCTTAAAATAAACTTACAAGATTTAAATAAATACATAGCTTAGTATAACTGCAGAAAAATACCTGTTGGAGGCTGACCTTTACTAATTGATATGGTTTTCTTATAACCTTTCTTGAAAGCAATAGCTTCATAGCTCAGGGGACTTCTATGGCTGCAAATCTGCTCTCACAGAGTCAAGCTTAAATTCATTCTCCTGCCCATACCATTATTCTGCTGTTTTTTATTCCACCTTGGTTACATCTTGTGGCAGGAAGCTCTGATGAGCCTTCAGTGCAATACATCCCTCCTAGCTGTTCTGTCCTCCCTGTGGTATTGTGTGTTATTGCATATCTATGAACTCTAGGCTTAAACAGCGATTCATGGGATTAGCAGAAGGATTTGGGCTATGACTTTACAGATTAGCTGAGTTAAATCCTCATACTTGAAAGAGTGCTTCTGAGCATGCAGACATTCTATATCTTTCAGCAGGATCGAGATTATTGCAAGTTTTAAGATCATTGACCTTATCCAATTGCCTGGTGCTACGTTCATCAATTATCTTCTTGAATTTAAGCAGAAGTTTAGCATCTGCTTCCAAAACACCATGAAAGGCAACTTCCATGTTGCTTCCATCTCCCATTTAGTTCTACCAAATAATTCTACCTCCTTTGCAGTGTATGATATTTGCAGTACAAGATTCTGAAGGAACAAAGACCACTCTTGTCCTGCATATATAATGTATTTTAAGCAGATAGTCAGGTATGTATGACAGTGAAATTAATGTTATGGCTTCATTTTTTTACATTGTGCAATTCTCAAAGACTTTTAAACAGTAACTTAAATGGCATTAACAACTGAGATCAGCAACATGAAGTATATACCTATGAAAGGTACTGACTTGTCCTGAAGTAGTGATGACAATAGTTTTTGAAAGGTTAATTAACTGTTTCTAAAATTTGGTTTTGACAGCTGTCTATATTCTTTGCACATATTAGCTCATCGTTAGGTATTTTAAAATTCAAATAGATCCAGTTAAAAAAATGGCAGAACACATCTGAGTAAATTTCAAACCTATTAAAAATTCATAACCTTAAAATTTACTCACAAACCCATACTCTTTAAGAAGTTTCTGCATGTCTCCCTTTGGCTGACCTCCTACACCAAAATAATGAAGCAATCCGTGCTGTTGAGAAACCAAGAAGTGAATCCCACAGCAGGGTAAATGAATGCCACTAGAGTATGGCTAAATATGCAAAAGCAGGGGCATTCAAAAGGATTAAAAGTCTACAAACTGTTGATGATAGTTAGAAAGTCAGTTAAAGACAAATTACAACAGCAAGAACAGAAATGTATAGTGTCACTGAATGGTAAATACAGGAAGGTTTTTACAGAAAGAAATTGGATTGCTTTGAAAGCCACATTGTAGAGTACTCTTAAACTGACAGGCAGCTCCAACTGTAGCAATATTGCATCAACAGAGCCATACGAAGTCTGAAAATACAATATAGGTACACCAGGCTTTCTAATATTCACCAGCTACTCAAGTTTGCAACATATATAATCTATTACTGCTATATTTAAGGAACTTTCTTCAATCAATTTCTCCTTCCTTCTCAACACAAATGTGTTTTCCCAACAAGCCTGTCTTGAATAAAAAGAATGGCTGCTGGGATTCCTATATGCTTCCTGAGAAGCAGAATTTATGTCTAAGGACTGATGATGGTCAGGATGCATGGGGTTATACCTAAAGTGAAAAGCAAAGGATAATGTAAGCTGCCATGTGTCGGCAGATATGAGATTTTTGTGTCATAAAGAAAAGAATGAGTAATGAGAATGCTTGCCACGCTTCCCTGTGGTCCACTCCTATGGGACAACCACGCCACTGAGGGAAATTCAGTCTAATTTCACTTCTGTTTCCCAGCTTTTCACAGACAGAAATACTTGTGATTTGGAGCAGGATGGAGCCAGCTCTGTGTTGACTGCATGGAGCTCAACACTGTTAGGCTCATCTGTAGCATTCTGAGATAAACAGGGGGGTAAAATGAGCATATTGTCCAGAATAGAGGATTAAGAAGGCTCAGCATCCTTCCAGCAACCCTTTAAGTACAAGACTATTTCAACAGTTCATCTGTACAAACTTACCATATTAATTCAATTACTTAATCTGTTACATATACACAGTATTTGCAAGAAACAGCCCTAGAATGGTAATTGCTGAGTTCTGATTGAAATAATGCAAAATTTAATGTCTGTATCATACTGTAAAAGCCATATTTCTATGCTAATTGACTAAGTACGAAGGGAAGTGTCAGAAGCAATACAAAATGTAGTAATTTTGGCATATAAGTCTATAGATTAGAATAGGTAATATAGTATTCTGTATTAAAGAAATTAAAAAAGAAACAAACTCAGATTTTCTTATAAGCCATCTTCTTCCTGTCTATATCCCTCTATACATTATGTACACAGACTGGAAAAAGCAAACTTCATTGGTCTTGTTTCTTGAAGGCTACTGGTTCTTAACTGAATGGTTATATAAACTACTCAATAGGAAAAAAATTAATGAAGAATGTCAAAAAGCCCAAGGGTGCAGACACCTATCTCAGAGAAACTATTCTTTTTGGCAAATGAAAGAAAGCACAGAGGATACTAAGAGTCCTGGGTTTTAAGTTATCTCTCTTTTATCTAGTAGTTTAAAAAAAAAAAAAAGGTGCTTTAGTGTTAGCACAAGAGGGAATGGCTTTAAACTGAAGGAGGGTAGATAGATAAGTTACTAGGAACACCTCACCATGAGGGTGGTGAGACACTGGAACAGGTTGCCCAGAGAAGTTGTGGCTGCCCCATCCTCTGGCAGTGTTCAAGGCCAGGTTGGACAGGGCTTTGAGCAACCTGATCTAGTGGAAGGTGTCCCTGCCCATGGCAGGGGGTTGGAGCTAGGTGATCTTTAAGGTCCCTTCCAACCCAAACCATTCTCTGATTCTATGATCTTGCTTAGGATTTGGGACACCAAAGCTCTAATACCTGTGCAAAAACTAGAACAATTTCCTGCCCTAACCAGAGAAGACAACTGGGATGGCTTATGTTTTTTTTTTTTTTTAATGATTATTTAATTTCTAATACATAAAGAGTTCTTAAAATGAAGATTATTTTCCCCCTAAGTTAATACCTGAATTAAATGCATGAAGCATCTTCCTCACTTGCCTTCATCTCCATGAATTTCTGTTCTGCAAAGGGGCATAGTTCCACAGACAGGTATATCTTCGGTTTTTGAGGAGACCAGTTCTCACTAGGGAAAATTTCTGTGCAGAAATTCAGGAGAGGAGCAATTGCTTCCTTCTTAGCTGGGATTTGCCACAACAGAAGCCAGAGTTCTGTATTTTGTGTAGGATTTATGCCCACAACAGTTTGTTAAATGCACTCAGAGAACATCTTCCAAACAAAATGCCTTGGGGAACTCAAATGGTGTAAAGATTTATTTCTTAGTCAAGGTTGGACAAGGACATGACACTGAGCTGCTGTTCTAAATAAAAATCGAGGTGGCAGGTCTGTGCAGGTGTAACAAGCTGAACTTTATGTTCTGAGTAAGTTTTACACGCAAAAGCTTAGATGTCTAGGACTTGAGTTAGGTGGTTTATTTTATAATGGGTTTGATGCATACCCTCCTTTCATACCTTTGAGTGTGATGTGTGCAAATTCATGAAGGAGCTAATGGTAGAAGTGGAAGCAGAGTTCATATCTCATGGATTTTTAATTAATGATCTAGTCAGTTTCCATTAGCTTTCTAACATTGTTTAAACAAGCACATGAACATTAAGTAAAATATTCTGTAAATATTAGAGAAAAAATTTAAAGCCATATGTAGAAAGGATTATATGAAATTCCCCAGGGATATTGGACATACATGGCCTACAATTAAAATCATACCCTGTTTTGAAAAACCTCATGATCTACAAATGCAACTCACCTCTACTTTCTTTTGTTTTCCACTTTCCTGTATTTAAATCTTTTATAAAAGAGAATAGAATCCTAATCTACACCATTGCCTCTGTTTAGCCTTTTATTTCAATCAGTTAATGACCAACAGCAATGTGAATATACAAAAAATAAAACCTAGTGGGATTTTTATGTATTCAGAAACAATACTTTCCAGCATTTTTCACAATCTCATATAAGTGTAGCACCAAGTCATCAGTATTTGGTAAAAGATTAACAGAAATCCCAAAACCGTAAGTAGAAACATAGCCAGAACATCACCCCAGTTCCCACTCTTGTATTTTCTTGCAGATTATCTTGCTTTGTACAGCAAGATAATGTTTCAGCATTCAGTGGGTGTAAACACTCTAAATAAACTGTCAAGCTTAACTGAACTATTCTGCAAAAAGTATCTTCCATAAAGAATATGCTTCAGAAGCATAGAAGAAAGAATAATATCTCTCCATATATTTTTTTTTTTCTGAAATGGTTACATTTACAGTATTTACAGGTAAACTGTTGAAATTACCTAAAACAGTAATCTTATTTCGGGAAGAAAGCAAGATCAACACAGCTTTTTCTGATTTGAAAAGGCCCAGAAGTTGGTTTACCTGCAGTTGTCAGCATTATTTCTTCCTACAGCACTAGAGAAGTTGAAAGGTCCCACATCATTAATTTCTATAACTTGTATACAGCCAGTGAAATTATAAACAGGTCCAGGTATCTACAAAGGAGAAAAAGCACACAATTCTTTTGTCTGTTGTCATTGTGATCAGTGTAAAAAATAATTAACTTTTTGCAAAAGTTTTGCAACATAATTTAACTCCTGAAGACCCCTCCCAACCTCCATTTTTAATTTAATGAAACGCTATTAAAAAAAATTATATGTGAAAAGAAGTTACAGCAAGATAAGCAGTACTGACTTAAAAATAAACTCATGGAGTTTTGGACATGCAGACAGCCCAACAGGTATTAGCCGAAAGTGGATTTAATTAGGTATTTATTTTTTATAGATGATCACAGGTCATGGAGAATGGTAAACAAGGAAGCTTTGAAAAGTCTACTTTTAAGTTTATTACTTCCCTGCTCAAAAGACGTCTAGTACCATTAATCATGTTTCAAAGATGCCTAAGGAGCTACTAAAAAAGGGAATCAATGCCCCATGCCAGAACTTCTTTTTAGTAGGGATACATCAGAGATCTGTCTCAATTAAATTATTATTGTAAAAATGTTTTAAAATTAATTAACAAAGTTAACAGTATCTACAAAGAGAAAGGCCAAATAATATTTGCACAGTAGTCCTATGGGAAATTACTGTGGTCATCACTTAAAATGGTGTGCAAACATCAGGAACAGTAGATGTGGATTTTTTGTTTTGTTTTGTTTCATTTTTTTGTTGTTTGTTTGGGTTTTTTTTTGTTGCCTTTTTTTTTTTTTTTTTTTTTTTAATGGTTTGGGGAAGGGGGAGAAGGCTAGGGAATGCAAAGGCACACCTCAAACTAGCATCAGTAAGTCCCAGTTCCATTCTAGACAAATCATTAAGAGCTTCTATAAAAAACAGAATTAACAGATACATAGATGAACATAATGTACTGGGGAATAGCTGAGATGGTTTCTGAAAAGGAAAACTGTAACTCACAGGAGGAACACTGAATACGTAAAAAGGATGCCTTGGCACATAGCCTTTGATTTCCAAAAGGCTTTTAAGAAGTTTCTATGCTAAAAGATTCTAAAGTAACTTGGTCACCCTGGGATAACAACAAAAGCCTTCAATATATTAAGAGAATGGGTAAAATAGAAGCATAAACATCGGTAATAAATAGTGAGCTTTCTCAATACGGAGAGCTCCCAGAAATTCCCTCACCAATCTGCATTAGTGTCCATGCCCTTCAGCATATTGACAAGTGGCTCTATGTTTCCCATGTTACTCAGAATAGCAAAAACAAAATTTTGAGCATATGATTTCACAACATGCAAAAACTATAAGGTATGTGAGGATGGCAATACGTATGAGAATTTCTGAACTGACAGTGACTGTATAGACTAGGAATCTTTACACAGGGAAACCCATTATCAAGGAGAGTTAGAACAGAGTGGTGTGCAGATGAATAAAGAGTTTTCACAGTTTCTCACTATACAGGAACAAAAGGACATGAAATCATATAGGTAAGTGTGACGATCAAAGCAAGATAAAGGGTGTACTTTTCATACTCCCCAAAATTAAGCTGAAGAACTCTTCCATAGGAGGTTGTGGACGGTATAAGTCTAAATGGGGTCAAAATTTGATAGAATTAATGGAAGATATTTTTCCAGAATGGTCTTCCTCATCTCTTTTCTCATCATTAAGCATCACAAAAAGAATGGTAGCCTCTAGCCTGTATATTCACCTTCTTCCTTACCAGCCAGTAAAGCACATTTCACATTGTGATGGCTCCATGCTCTGTCCAGAGCCTTGAAATAAAACCACCTTCCATTTTTTTTTAAAGGAAAAAGAGATTCTGAGAGACTGAAATATTTTAAAACTATGTTTACTAAAATAAAAAATCCTAAATTAGAACATGGCAACCATTTAACAGATTTCTGATGTGCTGGGTGATAGATATATTTCCCACTTCCCTTGTCCACCTTTGCAGGGAGGGCACTTTCCTCAAGTTTTGCTTTTTAAAAAGCTCAGTGACTTCAGTGTAAAAAGCATTTGGCATTCTAGGTGCATACAGCTGCTTCTGGGTCACAAGGAAAATTTCCTTTTTGCTATCACTTCTACAAGGGGGCTGAGAGTCACTTCCAAGCTTTAAGAAAGCACCTTGTTCCTCCCAGGGCTGCCCCAGCCTCTTCTTTCCCAAAGGCTTTCTGCCTGGGGCTGCCAAAAGCTCCTTCCAGGTCTCTTGGAAAAAGAGAAATCTCTCCCTCCCAGCAGAGAGATACACTGTGCAAACACAACACAGCTTTTCACTGTTCAGACACTCTGTAAGATAACACACCTTGACATGCTATACAATAAATGAAATGAACTGGCCTTCCAACCCATGGGAAGGATCAAAAAAGTTCACTAACAGTTCGCTGTTTATTCCTTTAGCAGCAAAAGCTCAAGGGCGGTTAAGACTTGGAAACACGTTACTATGTTACTACAGTGCAACAATGTGGAAAGTTATGTAACCGTTTAATGTGGCATTTAAAGTCAGAAAAGTTCAAGTGCTGGAATTTGGAAGATAGTATCTCTGTGCAGTAAACATGTTTTAGAGGATTGTACTCAGGCTTCCCGGAGCTTAGAAAGAAATAAAACCCTCACTCAAAGACTGGATATGAACATGCCTCTTTTCAAAGATACACTTCAGATGTTGAGAGAACAATGCTGCTTGATATACCATGAAAACGGACTATTGATTACAGACAATAGAAGATAGTCTCTCTTCCTTTTTTGACCGTCATTTTGGCAAAGAAGTAAGTGTGATGGACTGCCAGGTCTTATACTCAGCAGTCTGCTTTTGCTGCCATTATCAAGACAAACGACACCACATAATCTTTAAAAATGTGTGTCTGACTAGGTTTCACATTGCTTTTTATAAACACAAACTTTTTATTCTTTTCTTTCTTTTTTTTTTTTTTCCTGCCTTTTGTGAATAGTAAGTAAAATAATTTCAAATTAACAATTCAGGATCTATTGCAAATTTAATATGAACACAGACAGAAAATTAAAGATTTTGAGTTGGAAATTACGTGGGACCCACAATATTGCTTAAAAATTTGAAAAATTAAACATGTTTTAATATTGTGATAGTTCTGCTGCTTCTTCTCTCCCTTACCCGCAATGAAGTTTCGCTAAATATTAATTATGGTTGTTCCAGTCACAGCATGGGTGTTTTTGAAGAAAAGCCAAGCTCTCATTCTTGAGATTGTAAAAACAAATGAATAAATAAATAGAAAACAAAAGGAACTAATAAATGCAGAGGCCAGATACAACACAGTTTTAATATTTACTCAAGCTACTGTGCCTAGCTAAGTTCTTTCAAGAATCTGAATGTCAGGTGGTATATGAAAAATTCACTATGGCAACCTATGATCCATTTTGCACACTGAACAGCAAATTAATAGCTTGGTTTGGGAATAAAAAAATTACCTGTGTGTTTCCCCGAGCACTATTATCAGTGAATATTTTAACAACATGGTTTCCTTCCCCCAGACCAAACATACTGATTGGTTCCTAATTTCTCTTACACTGATATGTGAATATTTTGAATGCAGTGCATTCCTCTAAAGTAATATTAAACCACTTTGTTTTATAATTAGTGCCACACCATAAAAACTCTGGTGAAACAATTACTTGCCTTTGAACTGCTATGCTATCTATAAACAAAACTAGTATCTTCTTATATTTAGGAATAAGCACTATTTATTAATAATCAAAACTATGTAGCTTTTACTTTACTATTTTTGAGAATAGATTTGTGATTAGCAGAGTATTAAAATGTAGACTTTACATGTAGCTGGGTTTCCTTTCATTTCCAAGAATACATTAATATGCTGGCAATCTGTAATACTTAAATTGCCTGAAAATGTCAGGGTCATAGCAACACCAGAAATTTAATTTAACACAATTCAGTATTCAGAAACTATGCAGATATGTTTGACATATAGTTACCACGCTCTTTAAATGCCCTTTATACCTGACAAAAATGAGTACAGATACTTACCTGGTAGGAAAAGTTCACACATATATGCCAAACCATTTATTAACACCCCTTACTGACTAGACCAAATTAAACCTCCTGTTAGGTAGAATTAACCTAGAATTGAGTTCCATGTGAAATCAGCTTGCTTGCTGTTATTTATCTCCAGATTCATAAATAATATAATGAGGCTTTGGCTTATGATCAGAGCATTTGTAAGAAAAATCATAATTAACTCAAAAGAAAACAAAGCAGAGCACAACCTTTCATCATTTGTCTCCAGTCAAGACAAATTTTATATATCTGAAAAATTCTTACTACAAATATTACAATGTACCAGGATACACATTTCAATAATCTTTCATGTCTTTATGATTCCTGTGAATCTTTTGCAGAGAGTTCTATGAATCAGACTCCATAATCAATCAGACATATTTCCCATGAGTGAAAGATATGAACTTTTTCAAATTACAGTATTTTAAACATAAACAAAATGGACCGGGTACACATTTTTGAATGCTCTAGGAACATTTTTATTTATATTTACTAACAATATTTTAAACAGTTTGGAAATTAATGCAGAAATCAAAGCCAAAAATCAACCATGAGATAACAATTTCTCTATTACTGTTCTGGTTCTTGATAGGGGCCAGAATCATATGAAATTTCCATAATGATCTTTGAAATTAAGCAAGTTCTATTCTCAACTCTGTATTCTCTTCAGATTGTCCAAAAAAGCAACAAATTTGACTAACCATATTGGGTTTAATCTGGTTCAAACCTACTGCAGCTGAACTTCAGGATCATACCCACTAAAAAAAAAAAAAAAAAATAATAAAAGATCAGAAAACCAAAATTAAACTTAAAAAACCCCAAACCAAACCCAAAATTCCATGGTGGTGGTGGTGTTCTTTCCTCCCTAAAGAATTTAGTCTTTAAGAAAAGTCATTTTACAACCCATATTTCTCAGTTAAAATTAAATGCAGCACAAAACGAAACTATATAGACTATCAAATTAGCACCAAGGCAAACAGAATGTGTTTAATCCAACAGGACC